AATTACTATGGTGGGGGGATGAATTACTATGGGGGATGGAATTTACTATATGGGGGGTTGAATTAATATGGGGGAACGAATTAATATGGGGGATGAATTACTATAATGGGGGTATGAATTACTATGTGGGGGTTGGAATTACTATGTGGGGGATGAAATTACTATATGGGGGATGAATTACTATATGGGGGATGAATTACTATGGGGGATGAATTACTATAGGGGGGATGAATTACTATGGGGGACGAAATTACTATATGGGGGACGAATACTATATGGGGGACGAATTACTATATGGGGGGGGATGAATTACTAATATGGGGGATGAATTACTATATGGGGGATGAATTACTATAATGGGGGAATGAATTACTATGGGATCCGAATTACTAAATATGGGGGATGAATTACTATGGGGGCATGAAATTACTATATGGGGGATTAATTACTATGGGGGATTAATTACTATGGCTTACTACTAACCATGGGGAATATACTATTACTTACTATGGATGACACATACACATCATTTCATCTACTCTTGGTCGCGACCCGTGCCGGGGGCCATATATATGATACCCATTGCGGCCCTCAAGTCAAAAAGTTGGCACCCCCCTGAATCTATCACCATAGTTTGTAAGACGCTAATCAACTTCACACACCCGCAATCAAAATACATTTATGGGATTTTTTTTACCAAAAACATGGAGCAGAATACATTTTGGCCTAAATTTATAACCAACATTGAGTTTACTATATATTTTTTATAGCTGAAAGTAAAAAATATTGTTTTTCTTCAAAATTTTTGGCCTTTTTTTTGTTTTTTATATAGCGTGAAAAAAAAGCGCACAGGTGATCAAATACCACCAAAAGAAAGCTCTATTTGTGTGAAAAAAAAGACGTAAATTTCGTTTGGGTGCAGCATTGCATGACCCTGCGCAATTATCAGTTGAATTAGTGCAGCGCCGAGTAGCAAAAAGAGGCCTGGTCATTAAGGGGGGTAAATCCTCTGGAGCTCAAGTGGTTTAAGCATCGCATGTAACTTTCCTTTGCATAATGTAATGAACAGTGAGACTTATTAACTTATAGAAAAGAAATTAGGTTTGCAAAAATTAGTTTTCATTTTGGGTGGGTGAACATGGCTATATGCTCAGTGCTCCCAAACAGTAGCTGTCTTCCAGACAGCAATGTACAGAAAAGGGAAAGAGCTAAAAAGGAATGTTGGATTTTAATTTTTTTACCATCTCAGTTTTTGTTGAAATTTTAGATTTTTTTTTTTTTTTTGCAATTAGTTAAAGCAGACCAACTGTTAGATAATGAGTGTATGTGAAATCTTCATTAAACACTGTAAATATATATTGTATTATGAATATATTTCAGTTAGAGCTTTAAACAGTGCGGATGTGCAATATCTCTTCCTATAAATTCCTCTTCTATAGATACCATAGTTGCCAAAGGGAATGTTCTATTAATTACACCCCTTTACTGTATAACAGATGTTTTTGCTGAGAATCCTCTTTCAGACAGTTCGGTGCCAGAGTTAGTTTATCTAAAAATGGGACAAAATCTGTTGTCTTCACAAATACGCACTTCAAAGGATACCTCATTTAGATATGCAATGAAGGTGGCCAGCCATTCATGAATACTTAGTTTCCTACCAAAAGGTCATGAAGTGGCTTGCTTAAATTCCATAAAGGGTGTGCCAAGATTTGCCTTAAAGGGGGTTGCTGTATGCTAAATACAGGGGATTTGAAGTTAGCCAATTATGAAAGGGAATAGACTGGCCAACCAATAAGAGATACTCTAAGTTAAAGGAAGAGAGGCCTGAGAGAGAGAGAGAGAGAGAGAGAGAGAGAGAGAGAGAAAGAGAGAGAAAGAGAGATTCTCTTTGGAACACCAGAGGAAGGGAATGGAACTTTTACATCCAGTTCCATGGTAATTGTGGAATATATCCATTGCACTTGTATCTAAATGTTTGTCCTATGTCTTTTCTGTCTCACTGTTTGTATTTTGTAATATGTTTGAGCTTTCTTAATACTGTTTCTTTTATGTAACTAGATACAGTTGCAAGAAAAAGTATGTGAACCCCTTGGGATTACGTGGAGTTTTGCATGAATTGGGCATAAAATGTGCTCTGAATGTCATCTAAGTCACAACAATAGAAGAACACAGTCTGCTGAACATAATACTACACAAACATTAGATGTTGCCATGGTTTAATTGCACATAACATGTAAACATTCACATGGGACTACACACACACTCTATGATTATCACTCCCTACCTCCTCCAAGGCTGCTGATCTCCGGGCACCAGAAAATGTTGGTAGGGGGTGATAATCATGCTGTGTGTGTGCTGTCCCATACGATCTATCAGTATCTCATGTGCTGGATGGACAACAGGAGGGAGAGCCCACAGAACACAACACAGCACACCTCTTCCCAGCTCTTTCCTCTCTGCCACTTCTCCTCTCCCTGCTCCAGGCGTTTCCCTGGTCCCAGCTCTGAGTGCAGGCGGGGGGAAGGAGCTCAGCAGCCACTCAGGAACATCAGGGCACCCCCTCGATCTGACCAGGTCTGTCTCTCATCCCAGCAGCAAAAAGGCGGTGGGAGGGAGAGGGGGGAAAAAACCTCAAACCGGCATTCAGCTGTTGGAGGGAGAGATACACGAGCATCATTCTGCAACTACCCTCCCCCACCACACCGAGCCTCCTGCTGTCCGGGTACCGGTGGTACCCCCTTGATGGGGGCTCTGCATGCTCAGTCGGTCACTGCTCAACAGGTCCCTTCTTCTGGGGGGGTGCTGTGTCGCCCTCCTAAAAATTGCCACCATAGGCAAACGCCTTGTTTGCCTCGCGGTAAATACACCTCTGCGGTCAACGTATATTTATATCACTCAATATAATTGCATGAGATTGTGTTTTTTTTTTATGCAATGTCTATATCTATCACCAAGGTGTCATTACATGTTTTATACCCTCTATTCTATTCTATGAATATTCTTAACTCTTCCTTTCCTGTACGCCTAAAAAAAATTTACTTTATATGATATAGGAAAACTGATTTTTGTTTACGGAACAGATTACAAAATGCAAGTTCATAATTACCAGAAACTTTAAATTCCTCTTTGCAGTGACAACCATATTCCCCATCAGCAAAGGAGCATTCTTCAGTGTTTGCACATGCACACGTATCGGTGACAGAGGAGGGTTCTGAAAAGCAGGCCACATGTTACAATGCAAGAGTGCAGTTTTAAAATACTAGCTTTACATATATCTCATTCAGAAATTTAGAATGTACCTGTACAGTAAGCTAAACTGCAAACGTGGGCGTTCCGCTAATTTTGTACACGTAGTAATTATCCGGACAAGATTTAATCTTCACCAATGTTGACCACGTGCAACACTCTCCATACCAGGAAGCACAGGCCGTACGATTTACAATCCCATCACCAGTTAGTGGATGTAATCCCTGGAGCCACATTGGAGCGCTTGTGCCACATCTATATTGAGAGATGCAGTATTCTGGCATTTTGACACCTCCCACGCCTACAAAGCGGTACCATCCATTCAGGTAATAGTCACAATTATACCAATAACTATAACTGGAAGCGCTTCTCCATGGTTCGTCAAGGGTAGTGTAATTAAGGCATGGATCATAGCAAGAATAGGAACCAAAGCTTTTTGCACACTCCATACCAAAACCACAAACACCGAGGGTACACTCATCCAGTTCACAAGAGAAGCCGTCCCCAAAGTATCCGGGAGCACACGCACACATATAAGAGCCAATGAAATTGGTGCATGCTGCATGTGGACTGCAGGCGTTTAGGTCAGAGTTGGCACACTCATCTATATCAACGCATCCCTCTCCACTATAATTATAGTAGCCAGATGGACACGCACAGGTGTAAGAACCCAATGTGTTTACACAAGTGAAGTAACCACATTTATTTGACCAGTAATAGGAGCATTCATTAATATCGGAGCAGGTAAAGCCATCTCCTATAAATCCTTCCTTGCAGGAACACTGGAGGTAGCCGAAATAGTCTTCACAGGTAGCATTAGGGTCACATTTTGAACAGTCTAAAGTAGCTGTTTAAGACATAAAGATAAAAATAGATTAATTTTCTTTGATGAATGGTTCTCTGTTATGGAAAAAAAACATGTTTGCAATAAGATATATAAAATATAATTGCTGCACAAATGATAAGTTTAGCCATTCTAAATAATTTTAATGGGGGGGGTTATCAACTCAATTTTGTAATTAGACATGAGCAAATTTTTTTGCCATACAATTTGACAAGTCACATTTATCAGGTTAACACAGCCTTTCTCAACCAGAGTTCTGTGCAACTCTAGGGTTCCTTTAGAGTTGGAGGATTCTTCCCACTGATCACCAATGTAAGGGGCATTCTTCCCACTGATACCAATGTAAGGGGCCACTGACACCAATGTAAGGGGCATTCTTATCACTGATCACCAATGTAAGGGGACATTCTTCCCACTACCACCAATGCAAGGGACCCACTGACCTCAATGTAAGGGGCATTCTTCCCACTGACCTCAAATGTAAGGGGCATTCCTCTCAGTGATCACCAATGTAAGGAACATTTTTACCACTTGCCACCAATGTAAGGAGCATTCTTCCCACTGATCACTAGTGTAAGGGGCATTCTTCCCACTGAGTGTAAGGGGCATTCTTCCCACTGATCACCAATGTAAGGAACATTCTTCCCACTGATCACCAATGTAAGGGACATTCTTCCCACTGATGACCAATGTAAGGGACATTCTTCCCACTGATGACCAATGTAAGGGCCATTCTTCCCACTGATGATCACCAATCACCAATGTAAGGGACATTCTTCCCACTGATCACCAATGTAAGGAACATTCTTCCCACTGATCACCAATGTAAGGGACATTCTTCCCACTGATCACCAATGTAAGGGACATTCTTCCCACTGATCACCAATGTAAGGGACATTCTTCCCACTGATCACCAATGTAAGGGGCATTCTTCCCACTGATCACCAATGTAAGGGACATTCTTCCACTGACCACCAATGTAAGGGACATTCTTCCCACACTGATCACCAATGTAAGGGGAGCACCATGATCTTTCTTCCCACTGATCACAATGTAAGGGGCATTCTTCCCACTGATCACCAATGTAAGGGACATTCTTCCCACTGATCACCAATGTAAGGGACATTCTTCCCACTGATCACCAATGTAAGGGGCATTCTTCCCACTGATCACCAATGTAAGGGACATTCTTCCCACTGATCAAAAATGTAAGGGAACATTCTTCCCACTGATCACCAATGTAAGGGACATTCTTCCCACTGATCACCAAATGTAAGGGGCATTCTTCCCACTGATCACCAAATGTAAGGGGCATTCTTTCCACTGATCACCAATGTAAGGGCATTCTTCCCACTGATCACCAATGTAAGGAACATTTTTCCCACTGATCACCACCAATGTAAGGGCATTCTTCCCACTGATCACCAATGTAAGGGGCATTCTTCCCACTGACCACCAATGCAAGGGACATTCTTCCCACTGACCTCAAATGTAAGGGGCATTCTTCCCACTGACCTCAAATGTAAGGGCATTCCTCTCAGTGATCACCAATGTAAGGCGCATTCTTCCCAGAGATCACCAATGAAAGGAACATTTTTACCACTTGCCACCAATGTAAGGGACATTCTTCCCACTGATCACTAGTGTAAGGGGCATTCTTCCCACTGATCACTAGTGTAAGGGACATTCTTCCCACTGATCACCAATGTAAGGGAGCATTCTTCCCACTGATCACCAATGTAAGGAACATTCTTTCCACTGGCCACCAATGTAAGGGGCATTCTTCTCACTGATCACCAATGTAAGAGACGTTCTTCCCACTGACACCAATGTAAGGGACATTCTTCCCACTGACCACCAATGTAAAGGGCGTTCTTCCCACTGGCCAGCAATGTAAGGGACATTCTTCCCACTGATCACCGATATTAAGACCATTCATCCCATCTGACCATCACACTAATGTATCATGAGCTGTTGATATAGTTACAATTGGCAGAGGTTCCCTGAGACATGAAAGCTTTTTAAGGGTTTATCCATGTGAAAAAAGTTGAGAAAGGCTGAACTACTATATCACCAGTTCTGCCACTGATATACAGTATGAGTATCTTATACTACTTTATTGATTTGGAAGGTAGCCAAACAGCCTTCACAGGTAGCATCAGGGTGACATTTTGAGCAGTTTGAAGTAGCTGATTGGGACTTAAAGATCAAACAAATTAATATTGTTTGATGAATGTTTCTTTGTATAAAAGTCATCAAGTTTAGAAAATTCGACACAATTTTGATTGACTGAAACCAAAGAGGGCAAAGTCTGGTGCAGCTGTGCATAGAGGCCCCTAACCAGGGGCGGACTGACCATTTGGAAACTTGGGCACTGCCCAAGGGCCCAGGGTCAGTAGGGGGCCCCATGAGATGCCCCTGGTACCTTTTTCATAGGCTTTTTTGAGTTTGGGCAAGGACACAGGGGCCCCATGATCCCCTATTGCCCGGGGGCCCCATGAGTTGTCAGTCCGCCCCTAACATCAGCTTATTCAATTAATCTTTGAGAAAAAACGTGGAAGATGATTGGTTTCTATGCAGAGCTGTACCAGATTTTGTACTCTCCAGTTGTAGTAAATCAAACCCTATATCATTTCTGAAAAAAATTACTAGTCAAGGTTTTTTTTAAATAAATGCATAGGGGCCTTCATCCCAAATATTCAAATAGACATGAGAAAATCCATCTGGCAAAACTGGGATTTATCATTCTGATATATCATCAGTTCTTCCACTGATACTTAGGTATTTTATTCCACTTTATTCATGTTTGTTATGGTTAATGAAACATTGCTGAAAATCACAAATAAAAACGTGGTCTATGGACATAAGGATCGTGTTTTTACTTTCTGTGATTTTAAAATTGCTTGGGATTTTAGCAATCTACAGCATAGACCCAATGCTATGATTTCCTATGTACACTATATTGCCAAAAGTATTGGGCCGCCTGCCTTTACACGCACATGAACTTTAATGGCATCCCAGTCTTAGTCCATAGGGTTCAATATTGAGTTGGCCCCGCCCTTTGCAGCTACAACAGCTTCAACTCTTCTGGGAAGGATGTCCACAAGGTTTAGGAGGGTGTCTATGGGAAGGTTGGACCATTCTTCCAGAAGCACATTTGTGAGGTCAGGCACTGATGTCGGGGGAGGAGGCCTGGCTCGCAGTCTCCGCTCTAATTCATCCCAAAGGTGTTCTATGGGGTTGAGGTCAGGACTCTGTGCAGGCCAGTCAAGTTCCTCCACCCCAAACTCCCTCATCCAAGTCTTTACGGACCTTGCTTTGTGCACTGGTGCGCAGTCATGTTGGAACAGGAAGGGGCCATCCTCAAACTCTTCCCACAATGTTGGGAGCATGAAATTGTCCAAAATGTCTTGGTATGCTGACACCTTAAGAGTTCCCTTCACTGGAACTAGGGGGCCAAGCCCAACCCCTGAAAAACAACCCCACACCATAATCCCCCCTCCACCAAACTTTACACTTGGCACAATGCAGTCAGGCAAGTACCGTTCTCCTGGCAACCTCCAAACCCAGACACATCCATCAGATTGCCAGACAGAGAAGCATTATTGGTCACTCCAGAGAACATGTCTCCACTGCTCTAGAGTCCAGTGGCGGCGTGCTTTACACCACTTCATCTGACGCTTTGCATTGCACTTGGTGATTTAAGGCTTGGATGCAGCTGCTCAGCCATGGACACCCATTCCATGAAGATCTCTACACACTGTAGTTGTGCTCAACAACACCAAGTTTGGAGGTCTTTAGCTATTGACTCTTCAGACAGTTGGCGACTTCTGTGCACTGTGTACTTCAGCATGCGCTGACCTGTTCTGTCATTTTACGTGTCCTACCACTTGGTGGCTGAGTTGCTGTTGTTCCCAGTTGCTTCCACTTTGTTATAATCCCACTAACAGTTGACCGTGGAATATTTAGTAGCCAGGAAATGTCACGGATGGACTTATTGCACAGGTGACAACCTATCACGGGACCACGCTTGGAGTCACTGAGCTCCTGAGAGCGACCCATTCTTTCACCAATGTTTGTAGAAGCAGTCTGCATGCCTAGGGGCTTGATTGTATACACCTGTGGCCATGGAGGTGATTGGAACACCTGAATCCAATGATTTTGAGGGCTGACCATATACTTTTGGCAATAGAGTGTATATAAGTGATATATTTATTTATGAATGGAAGAGAAGGTTCTTGGGTACCATTTACTAAACATCAGGATTACACAGTTGCATTATTTTCCATTTTTTTTTTCACTTACCTGATATATTAGTAGCTGAAAAAGAGAAAATATAAAATCAGTTGTATTGCAGTTCAGAAAATAAAAAATCAATAACTATAACGTTATTAAACAAATGTAGCCAAATGTTAGATTGGTGCTTGTGCTCTACACACTGTGCTGTACAAAACCTGTGCAAAGAGCAGAGCGCCGGGAGGGACCCAACAGGCCCCACCCATTGCAAGCTGCCTTCAGAAAACCACAGAAGGGGGAGGAGACCAGACCAGTCACCCTGCACAAGCAGAGAGAGCAGCAATGATAGGTCTGCATTAGGTTTCACACTGGATTACTGCAAGGAACTAGGGAAATACACAGAGCACACCAAGATTCAAGTAAGAATAGGCAACAACTGATGACTGGGGAACTCCACACACTTTGGGGAGATGTTTTTGCACTTGGTGCATATCCAAGAAGGGAGTGGAGGGAAATCTCTCCAACAGGACAGAAGACCCAATAGGCATTTTATCCCCCTTCAGCAAAATTTAACCTACCGTATTTTCTGGCATATAAGATGACTTTTTACCCCTTGAAAATCTTCTCAAAAGTCGGGAGTCGTCTTATACGCCGGTATACGGCATGCTGACACTTTTTAGGGGGGTGGCGTGGTGCCACCGCCGCCCCCCCCCTTCCAATGGAAGGGACACTAAGTACAGGGGTGGGCAGGGGCTGCTGTTTCTTACCTGGCTCTAGTCCCACGACGATCCAGTCCAGGAAGCGCGGCTGCTCCTTCATTCAGTTCGGCCACTGGATGTTTGCGCGGCTGCTCGGCTCCGCCTCCTCACCGGTGATTGGCCGCCAGAACTGTAGCTCAGGAAAGGCACACAGGCGGCCAATCACCGGCGAGGAGGCAGAGCCGAGCGGCCCCACAAAAATCGAGTGAAGGAGCGGCCGGTAAGTGTGCCGTACAGAGGTGCTGCTGCAACCACATATGCTGGCTGCAGCAGCACCATACTGGAACAGGGGTCAGCAAGTGTCATTGGTGTCAGTGGGAGGAATAGTGCCCCATCATTGGTGTCACTGATACCAATGATGGGGCATTATTCCTCCCACTGACACCAACGATGGGGCACTATTCCTCCCCCCCACTGACACCAATGATGGGGCACTATTCCACCCCCCACTGACACCAATGATGGGATACTATTCCTCCCACTGACACCAATGTTGGGACACTATTCCTCCCACTGACACCAATGATGGGGCACTATTCCTCCCACTGATACTAATGATGGGGCACTGTTCCTGCCACTGATACCAATGATGGGGCACGATTTCTCCCACTGACACCAATGATGGGGCGCTTTTCCTCCCACTGACACCAATGATGGGGTGCTATTCCTCCCACTGACACCAACGATGGGGCACGATTCGTCACTCTGATACCAATGATGGGGTGCTATTCCTCCCACTGACACTGATGGAGTACTATTCCTCCCACTGACACCAATGATGGGACACTATTCCTCCCACTAATACCAATGATGGGGCACTATTCCTCCCACTAATACCAATGATGGGGCACTATTCCTCCCACTGATACCAATGATGGGGCACTATTCCTCCCACTAACACCAATGATGGGGCACTATTCCTCCCACTGACACCAATGATGGGGCACTATTCCTCCCACTGACACCAATGATGGGGCACGATTCTTCCCACTGATACCAATGATGGGGCACTATTCCTCCCACTGATACCAATGATGGGGCACTATTCCTCCACTGATACCAATGATGGGGCACTATTCCTCCCACTGATACCAATGATGGGGCACTATTCCTCCCACTAATACCAATGATGGGGCACTATTCCTCCCACTGACACCAATGATGGGGCACGATTCTTCCCACTGGTGTGCATTGGAATAGGGGTAGTCTTATACGGCGAGTATAGCCCAAACACTACATTTTAACAGGAAAAGTAGGCGGTCATCTTATACGCCGGAAAATACGGTAATGAGATTTTACCCTTGCAAGGCGTGTAATGTGCATTGTGGTGTGTTACAATGATGGCATACTGCCTACTAGGTAACAGTGCATTGAGGTGCGATTCAAAATGAACGGCACTACGGCGCATTGTGTCATACATATTCTTTGATGCACTATATATTGGACATGAGCCTTTTTATAAAACAGCACATCAAAATGCATGTAAT